CTGTGCTGGTGAGTAGGATAATAGCGAAGTGTACGTACGTAGACTTGTACATGATTCTATACTGTTGCATTTTTTGTTGCATTTCGTATTAATACCTGCATGGTACGCGAGTACAGGCGCGGACCGTGCGACGAACCGTACCGGTAGCAGAATTCAATTCTGATCGAAAGATATCAGGGAGGCAGTGTTGTTGCATTTGCAAAGAACTAACTCAAGTACCATTTCTCGATAATTGTTAAGAAGCACTTCAGTTTGGAATGCGTGGTCTTACTCGACAATTGGCTAGGGCAACAAAACTACGAGTACTTCTTTTGCTTCCGTCGCTTTTGTCTCTTTGTTGCCGCTCGTTCATGTCTTCCCGGGTGTGCTTTACAAGGGGACTATCGTCGTTGCAAATCGGAATACAAGGTCGTCGGAACCTCCTTTTCGCTACCGAAGCATGTTCTTCCCGAAGATACACCAATGCCGATGATACATTCGTATCTGCCGCTTGTATTGGGAGAGACGCACAACGAGTGTCCGCCACCGAGGTCGAATTGCCTCTTGCCGACGGAATGGTCGTGAGGGGCCAGCGATGGATCCACCTCGATCGTTTACAAAACAAAAACCAAGCGGCAACAACGGCACCTACGGTAGCAGTCGGTGGCGAAAATCCAGTGACGACTCGGATTTTGGCGCTTCACGGATGGCTGGACAATTGCCGGAGCTTTTACTGCCTCGCGCCTCGATTGGTCGAGAAATTGGGAACCCGGGCCGAGCTCGTGGCGATCGACCTTCCCGGACACGGGAGATCGTCTCACCGGCCGATCGACGGACCCACCGCGGTCCTGAGCGAGGGTGCATACTACATTGCCGAGATCCTCGATGCACTGGAATGGGGGCAGGATGCAAACGCCAATAGCAGCAGCAAATGCAATGGTGCGAAAGAAGATCAAACCAAGGTGACCCTGTTAGGTCACAGCATGGGAGGAGGCATGGCCGTTACGTATGCGGGAGTATTTCCGGAGCAGATTGGCAACATCGTGAGCCTCGACATGTTTGGACCGGAACCGGGAGAACCCGAGGATGCAGCGGCCCACATTCGGTCGCACGTGGTCCAGCGAAGGGGGCTGGGACCACTTGGACGGCCCCACGTCTTGTACCCATCCCTCGAACGGGTGATCGAACGGCGGATGAAATCGGCTCGCATGGCCCCGGGCGGGCACCAGTATTTGTCGATAGAGGCCGCTACAGAGCTGGTCACCCGATCCACGGTGCCCGTCTATGCCAGCGACGACGACGAAGCCGCGGAAGAAAGCTTTCCCAAGGGGTACAGGTTCCGACACGATACGAGAATGATGTGGCCTTCCCTCCAGTACCTCACTGCAGAACAGATAGCGTCGATCCTGGGGCGCGTAGACTGCCGGGTCTGTCTCCTCGCTGCAGAGGACGGGTACCCCTTCCGGCAGGATCGCGTTGATCGTGCGCTGGCATGCCTTGAACCCGAGGTCTACAAAGTCCTTCCGGGGAGCCACCACTTCCACGCCGATCCAGACACCGCTGAGGCCGTGGCGGATGCCATTTGCGAGTTCCTGCGCGGGGGCAAAAACCGGGAATCGACGAACACCACGAGAGGCGCAAGAAAGAACGCTTCGCCCTCCCAGGAGGCCACCGCGACGTATGGCATGCAGTAGTGTCTGCGCACGCTACTACCGCACCAAAACCAAACAGCAGTATATTGCGACACAACACCGACTTGCGAACCGAATCCCATATCTCCGGCCACGGGATAGAAGTCGATTGAGAGCAAACAATTCCTCCGTCGTCTCATGACGATGAATGGAATATAGGGAAGTTTGACTGGATGTCTTGCTTCCTCATTGAAAGGCAAGTCGTTCAAAGATTTGCGCTCTGAGAGAATGTAGGCTGGATAGGCCTAGCCGTTGACGGTTTTGTGTAAAACTCAAATAACTCCGACTTAAAGGTATGGCTTCGGTTTTTCCAGTACTGAACTTCACCTGAATTGTGGGGAACAACGAGAGTGGATGATTGCTTCTGGTCTGATTGTACGGGCTTTCGATCAGTATGAACAGTTTTTGGGTATGTTCAATCATACCAGTATTTATGAATCATTAGACTTGCTTGTAGTTTGTATTTTGCTATTTCAAGTAGTACTTCGTTTACTGGTGTTTTTTTGTTCACTACTTTTTCCTTAATGGTCCCAATTGGACCGTATGTAAAAAGAATACGGAAGTACGAAGTTCCTTACGAACTTGTCCTTCACTCGTACATACGTACTCGTACTCGTACCAGTAACACTCAGTATGTTCTGTTTTGCATCGATTTCAGGAACAGTCATTGTGATGATTTTTGAAAAGATAAGCCTACGAGTTCGATACTAGCGTAACAAGTACAGTACTACTAACAAGGTACGATTGAGTTTTACGTTTCGTAACAACAAAAACTCGTGAAACTCATTCGAGTCGAGAACTCAAGAGTACGAGTAGCTTCAAGCTCCTGATGTTGTTTCACTCAATGCGATACAAACAAGTCCCGTTTGTTCCTAACCGTGACATCATTCTCCTTTCAAAACCAAATCGACGGACACTGAAAAGAATAAGAACATTCCTAGTTTGCAGTTCGAAGATCCAAAATCCTCATGAAGAGGTTCCAGCCTTGTGGAAGAAGGACCAGGAGGTCCATGTCCTTGTTCGCGATCCGCAGATTTCTCGTCGTGGCCGCGATAATTGTGGCGGCGGTGGCTATCGGAGACGCCGATCCCGATGCCGAGTCCAGCCCCATTCGCAGCGAAAAGTCTCAAGAAGGATCATCATCGACAGAAGCCGATGTCGTGGACGCGAGAGAAGAAGGTTCTGTTGTTTCTTCCTCTGCCATCGAACCGGACCTACCCTTTAGTGACATCAACATTCTAGTTGTTTCGGATGTCCATTCCTTCGTCGGGGGACATCCGCACGAGCCGGACCGAAACGCCGACTATGGAGACCTCTTTTCGTTTCATGAGCGCCTGAAGGAGCACTGTGAGGCAGAGGGCAAGGGCGATCTGTTCCTGTTCAACAACGGCGACTGGCTGCACGGGACGGGATTGGCCATGGACGGAAACGCTACCAATCTGTTGCCCATTGTGAATGCCATGCCGTGGGATTCTCTGACGATGGGCCGACAGGAGGCAACGTACACGGATGTCTTGCGGGACATGAGCGAGACCATGCTTCCAGCCTTTCACGGGAAGTACATCACCAGCAACGTGGTTTGGAACGAAACAAAAGAGCCCTATGGAAAGCGGTACCAATTCCTGAAGGGCCGCAACTCTACAATCCTGGTGTTTGGGTTTTTGTACGACGTGGCGAGTCCCTCAACGACGATACAGGTCGTTCCGGTGGAGGAAGCAATACAGCAGGAATGGTTTCAGTCTCTTCTTCGGGACGACTACAAAGAATACGAATACGACGCCATTGTAGTTTTGGCGCAAATCGACGTGTACAGTCCCCTGATCGAAGACATTTATGAAGCAATTCGAGAGAACGTCGATCCAAATATGCCCATTCAATTCATTGCCGGGCATTCCCACAAGCGCGAGCGTGTGAGCAGCATCAAAAGGGATTTCTTCGTGCACAAAATGGAGCCCGGTGGTCTGTTCGACACAATCGGCTGGGTGACCATTCCGAAATTCGAGGCCACCAAGGGGTGGTCTGGCAAGAGCCAGGAACTGAAAGATGCATTCCGGCAGGAATTTCTAAACACAAGCAAAACCGTGTTGCGTTCACGCCTGGGCTTGAGAGACGAAGACCAGCAGGGGCTTGAGACGGCCGGGGGGAGGGCCATTTCCAAAATGATCCACAATACGCAAGAACGACTGGAATTGAATCAGATCGTGGCCTGCCCCGGGCACGATTACTTTCGTAACATCTCTATTCACGCCGACAACTCCCTTTGGAAATTGTGGAGGGAACACGTCGTGCGGACCCAGATCTTCAAAAAGGCCGAAGATCGGGTCATTATGGTGTCCAAGAGAACCTTCCGTTACGATCTACGTGGGAGTGGCAAGCACGACGCCATGACCCTGGACGATGTGGTGGCTATCGCCCCCTACATGCAAAAGGTTATATACGTGGGAGACGTTCCGGATTGGATGATCCGCCGAATGAACAACACCTTCAACACGTTTAGCCACCACAATATAATTCCCGATTACGTCTTGGCTGGAGACATTGACGACGTCAAAACAGCCGAGTCTTATCAACTATATACACACGAAGAGGATGTTCCAAAAATCAAGGCCAAGCTGGAAAAATTCAATTTCAAAGATTTTGTTTTGAAACCCACGGGGCAACGAGATACTTTGTATTGGTTGAACTACGTTCGAAATGCCTATCCATGCAAAGGAAGCGAGAACGAAAAGTTCAAGGTGCCCTATTTCTACGATCCAAACGAACTGGAGGAGGAATCCACGGATGGAAAAGTGACAAGCGATGAAATGGGATTAGATTTTGACGAACAAGGTTCCGAAAGTGACACCGATGAGGAAATTGTATGGACCTTGCCTCCGGGAGAGGAATACAAGGGATACATTCCCGGAAAAGGAGAAGTGAAAAAGGTCCCCGTGTCCGTCTATGAAAATTACAAGACACAAGAAGAACGCGACAAAGAAAAGCAGGAGAAAAAAGCCGCGGCAGCAAGCCGTCTCAGCAGCAAAAACCTCAAGTCCCAACTGCAGGAACGAAAAAAGACGCACAAAAAGATTGTAAAGGGGTTTGCAGTGGTCTTTGCGTTCCTGATCTTGTTCATTCCCGTCGTGTGCTTGATAATGCAGGTAACGGGGCGAAACGACGACAACGATGGCTTTGGCAGCGGGGGTGCTTTGTACGACCAAGAAGAAATGAGATTGCTGAAGCGGCGACGGAGGGGGGCAACGAAGAAAACACGTTCCAGAAAAGATCGCAGCGGTTCGTTTCACGAACGACCGCTGAAAGAGATCGAAATCATATAATATAACAACAAACATAAATCTTAGCTCCTGGCAATCATCGCATTATCACAACCATCAGAATCGTAGGATGGGACTCCCCATGCAAAAGAGAAAGCATAAAACAGTAGAATCAGGCATCCAACTTTTATTTTTGCTATGTAACTAGAGTAGTGAGCTCGTGATGTGGGATTAACATGCTTCATTTGCATAAAAAACAGTTTTCAAAATCTACAAGAATCCTGAAAATGCACACGAATGGATAAAAATACGGGTCTGTAACGTACCTGGTACTACTTCGAAATAATTGTCTGAAAAACGTAAAAAGATGATGCTGTCCACCAGATGGAATGGTTGATAGGCTATTAATGTCAGCAAAATTGACCCGTGAGAGACTTGAACTCCCGACCTTCGGGTCTGGAATCCGAAGCTCTGCCAACTGAGCTAACGAGTCAACGGTGCCCGATGGTAATAAAAATATGTACGTGAACTTACATTGCATTCATGTTTCAGAGATTGATAATAGGATTGAAAATATTATTATGGCACTATCATGACTAGAAATACTAACTAGTATTTAGAAGACCAATAATACTGCCACTGGTAATATTTTTGTTTCCACTACTTCTACTACTGCTACTACTGCTAGTATACTACAATACTAATAAGTAGTACTAGTAGGCTACCATTGTTACCTAGGCAGGAGTAGTAGTAGGAGGAGTACTAGTACTACTCCTTGTTGTTCTTGACTTCTTCATCATTCTTCTGTCTTCTTTGGATTGTTGCAATTGACATCATCCCCTCTCTATTCTTGTTTAAGATTTTAGGACATTGCTTCAGTTTGATCTCAAGTACACAATAGGTGAAACCTACTATTATAATTATTATTAAGAAGAAGAAGCACCACCAGAGGAAGAAGAAACAAGAAGCAACACAAACACCAACAGCAAGAAGGAGAAGAAGTTTTACTGGTTAGTTGGTCTTTGGGTGTTGTCCAGCTATGAGAGCAAGAAATACAGCCAATGTAATCTTCACAATAAATTTCGATGTAGTGGTGTTTTGTTCTTTGATTGATATCGATGCCAATACATTGTGGTGGCGAGTCCCAAATTCTTGAATGGTATTTGTTTTTCTTTTGGGAGGAGTTTCAGTTGCTTGTCAATGATGTCATAGATTTCATTTCTAAGGGTGGCATTTGGGGAAGATATCAAGAAGTCGTCAACTTGTTGCAATGTAAATTGTTTGATAAATACACTTTCTATGAGTTGTTGTCGTGAATCTGAGTTCTTCAGAAAAGAGTATTTTATTGATATGCTCTTCCCATACTAGTTGCCCAGATTCAGAGTGACCTCGTAGGGCATGTTGTACAGGGAGAACATGTGTTGGATCAAGTTGTTCTCCAAATTTCCATTTGTACCAATCTGCGTATTGACCATTGATAGCAACAAAAGTTGGTACCTTGGGTGGTGGAGAGTGAGTGTATGCATCTTTAGCATCACCAGCATAGAGTTTGTAGTTGAGGATGGCAGTGAGAGCAAAGAAGAGTCTTTGCACTGGTTTTTCAATGCAGGAGGAGTATGTGGAAGCAATTGCATGGAGTAAAGAAGGAGCAAAGCATTTTGATCCATAGCAACAGTTGCAAGATTGGCATTCACCAGTCTTGCAAACTTGGTATTGCCAATGAGGAGGGCCCAATAAGATGGATTTTGGAGGTCTTGGTGTTGGTTTTCCACACATTTCAAGGTCATGGAATTGGTCATGTTGTTTTTGTTCAGCTTTTACTAACCATTCATTCCAATTGTCAAGTTTCTTCAGTTTTTGACAAGTGAAGTGTCCAAGTACCTCTTCTTCTTTAACTATTGTTCCGAAAGTAAGGGCATTGGTTTCAAGTTGTATCATTTCATCAGAAACTATGTGAGGTGGAACTTGGAGACCTGTTCATAATGTTTTGATGGCATGTAATGTGGTCTAATTTGTTTCTGCAGCTGTACTGAATTTGTTGGTTGGTGGAAGTAGGTTATATTCATTGATTTCTTTCTATTGTCAAATACTTGAGGCTTTAACAAGGGGAGCAAATTTGATTTTTGAAGTTGGTAACACCTTTTTCAACTAATGATGCAAGTATTGTAAGTGCAGATTGTTTAATGAAGATGGGTTGGTTATTGATCAATATGATGAATGCACCACGGACTTGGATTAGTGTAGACCTAGTACTATATGAGGAAAACGTGGCAGCATCGCTTGATTTCTTGGTGACGTCTATGAGAAAGGCGCAACTGTTTAGTTCATCTTTGTCATGTTCAAGTCCAAATGCTTCTTTGGTAAGACTGTCTTGGAAAGGTGATATATAGAAACATAGATCATTGTCCTTATTTTCTGTTTTATCCAGGGATATATTGGAGCCACTTTTGGAGCATTCTTGTAAATGGGTAATGTTTGGCAGAATATCTTGTGTTGGCAACAAGTCATTCAATCCTTCATTGAAATGAGCATGCGATGAGGAAATATTGACACGACATCATACCATCATACCAAAGGATGATTTTTGTAGTTTCTGGAAGATAACCAAGGAAAATACCTTTTCTGGAGTTATTTTTGAATTTTGCTTGCTGTCTTATAGGTGGACATAACCAAACTCTGTAACCAAATGTTTTGAAGTTTCATAAATTTTCTTTCTTACCACTGGTGGCAAGTTGTATCAGTAATTTAGTTTGTGTATGTTAACAAGGTAAGGCATTTAATATTTGAAGAGAGTKGTGGAAAGCATAAGGCTAGAATAGACGAGCTCACCACCTGATCCATGTACATATATTTTCCTGGACAGTTTGGTGCATGTATATCAAGAAATTTCTGGAGCCATGTGATTGGAGAAGCTTCTGAGAGTTGAGTATCACCAACTAAATATTGTGTTGAGTAGTCTGATATGGATCCAACTTGTTTCACCATTCATTCCTTCATAATCTTGTACACATGAAGTGTCTTTTGACTTTGTGCCACTGAAGAAGAAATTGATGGAGAGACATTGATAAGGGAGGGTGCAGAACACATTGTATTCTCGCCAGCTTGTGTTTTTGTCTGTTTACATTGAATATAAGTAGGGCAACGATTGAGAACAGTTGTGTGTATGATTTTCCAAAGGAAATAACACCATGTATAATGACTGATTTGTGTATATCTTTGTGATGTTTGCATTGAATTGTGATTGTATTTGAATTGTAAAATTTGCAGATTGCAATTATATACTCACAAAGTTGCAATTGTGGGTCAGAGCATATGATGTTGTCTTCGGAGATTAGCCTTGAGGATAGTGTTGCAGAATATATACAGCAAAGGAAGCTGGACAAATCCTTTGTCATTTACGGCAGGGACCTGAATACTATAGCCTTCACCATGTAGATAAACTCCATCTGTAGAGTTTAATGCACCAACAAGTTTGAGCTGACATGGAAATTTCTTATTGTATGGCTTCTCATTGTGAAGGATGTCAATCAAATTTGTGCATGTCAGATCAGCACCATTGTCTATTTGTGCTCTGACTGTCATAGATACATTTGTCATGGATATCTTTGGTGGTAGTGGTGTGTTTGATCTGTTGAGAGGTTGGTAGGGGGTATTGGGACCTTTTTTATTTTCAGTGTAAAAGCATCATGTGGATATTTTGGTGTTCTGATGATATATGTTGGTGGGTTGGAAGATGTGTTGAGGATGCCAGACAAAGTATTGCTGGCAGTATGGTATATACTGGGTCATGTTGAGCCTGTAGCAATCTTTAACCTGGTCTGGGTAGTTCATGGGGCAAATGGAGTGATGTTCAGACTATAGGTCTTGGCTTTTGGAGTAAGGTGTTGATCATTGTGGCCTGTTGTTGCAGCATGTTCCTATTCTCAGTGAAGAGACCACGGACAATGTTGGGATCAATAGCAGATGGTTGAGTCGTAATATTAGTATGATTTTGTTTTGTCAGGTTCTTGATACTAGGAGGAGGAAAAGCAGTGTCCGAGAAAAATGTCAAAGTTGTATATGTCTTTAGATAGCAGTCTTTCGTTGATGTAAATGGATGACCAGTTAATGTAGAGGGGAAGAGTATTCTTGTTTTCAAATTCCGTGACAAATTCAACATCACAGATGGAAAGGTGCATATTGTTTCCTAGCTTATGAGGTGTGTCTTTTGCAGTGGCTACTGGGAGTGTGGTTTTGTTTTTGATGAGATTGTCAATACAAGTTATATTGGTGGTGTTGACTGCGCACTTTTTGATGTTTTTGGTAATTGTATCTTTGATGTACCCAATGGTCAGGTGCTGGTCATCAAAAGCATCTCCTTTGTGGTTAAGGTCAAGCTGTAGTTGTTGTTCATTTTGTCAGTCAAGTTGGGGTGAAGTTGATGATCATGGAACACAATGTCAAGGAATGATACCTTGGGGTGGAAAGGACAGGCATTGGCGCCAGAAAGTGATTTGGATCTGCTTCTTGTATGCATGATGAAAGGAAGTCATGTAGGTTTGTAAGACTGGATGAAAGAGATGATTGGGAATAAAAGATGTTTTGATTTGAATCAAAAGATGTTTTATGAGACAACTGTTGTGAAGGGATAATAGTTTGTTTGTCATGGGCAATTGTATGTGGTAGAGTTGTGTGAGGAGAGAGCACACCTAAAAAATCACCATAGTGGTGGTGATTTTTATTGGAAAGGTGTCATAACCKGTGGGAGTGACTATCTAATAGTGATGTAAATTGAGTGCTAGAAGAAACATGAGTTGATGCTCTTATCGAGTATTGACAAACTATGAAGTCTAAAATGAATCAGAATGAAGATTGAGTGATGTGTGAATCGAATGAGTCAAGTCAGTCATGAGAGTGAATCAAACGAGTCAAGTCAATCATGTGGATCCATGATAGGATCAAATGAGTCATGAATGTAGAGTGTGTATGAATCATAGATATGTGTCATATGTATGTGTTGTAGATATGAATCATACTCATGATCTGATACCCTGTGGACAGCAAATTTTACACTGCTATTACGTTACTGCATTGTGCTGTGGTGGTGCTGTTGCTGCTGCTGCTTGTTTGGTTGAATTTTACTATTTTGTAATTCTACTAGTAGTACTCTTTTCATCAGATTAGTACGACTATGTGACATACAACTAGCAGTTCTTGCTCTACTACTAGTTCTACTACTAGTTCTACTACTACTACTACTACTACTACTACTACTAGTATTTTCAGAATGAGTAAACAACAGCAAGCACCACCACCATCACTACTACTAGTCTCCTAAAGAGCAAAATAAAGTACAATTACCTTGACAACAAGTGGTAGACAAGCACTAGTATTATCAGAAGGATGCAATTGGCTGACTCATTGTCAGCACACATTTTGAGAGTTTGCATGGTGGTGCTAGTACTATTGCTTCACTTAATGTATCTCATTCACTTCCTTTCATTAATGGTTTCGTAGTAGAGCTCACAAAGTAGGAGGACTACTGCTTCTAAATTGTTCCTATTGAGTTTTTGGACGTAAATCCTCTGAGCTCATTATAAACTTAAGAAGCTTTAGCTTTATTTTGAACCTATCAAGTAATATCCATGTTCGTTATCGAAGCGCTGCTACATTATATGTAAACCAAGAGCGTATTGATCATAGCCCACAAACCGAAGACAAAAATGCCGACAGAGGAGTATTCTTTGAACGTACCCCTTGATAGATTCTCAACCTCTTTTTGACTTGTTAATGAGATGTACTCTCCCACCGTAATACCAAGGTCAAAAAAGCTATTGATAATATAACTCGTAACCATTAGGGTTGCCACTGCCAAGAGCGATGTGGAAATGTCGTCAAAAACGCCTGATAAAGCGATAGCATCTGGAGAAGAGGCAAAAAAGTTTTGCGCGCTTTCGAAGGTTATTGCCGCACTTTTCAGAGGCGACAGATCCAAGCCACTATCAAACAAGTGTATCTTTATCTTGATTATCCAATAGGAGCTTTTTGCTGCCGCAAAGAAAAAGAATACTGATTGAGGCGTGTGAATGAGCAATGAATTCTTCAAGTAGATTTTTGATGACTGTGGCACCAAAGCCAAAAGAACAGAAGCGTCTAATGCAGGCATCATACCAAAGTATGTTACCAGCATACTAAATCGCAATCCAAACATACATGGCTCGACCAATCTTGCCATTTTCATCATGTCGAAAGCAGCTGGCGTCGGTGTTCCAGTCACCAGGCGAGCTGTATTGTGTGATATCGAAAGTATTGTTGCTGGAAAAATTGTCGATGCTGGAACTATGGCCATCCACATAATCCATGCCCTTATATTTGATTGATGATATTCCATCATCGCCAAAAGAAGGGTAAAAATACAAAGTGCCATTGCATCGCCAATCAAAGGAAATCTCCCACCAAGGATAGGGATCGATATTTTGTCCCACGATATGCTTGATTTAGTGTCAACAAAATTTAACATTAGCACCAGCATTCCTAGGCTACCAACACACAATCCCAAGAAGGCGTTTTCCCAAAGCTCTATAGTGTGCGAATTCTGAAGAGACTTGATTGTAACTGCCATAGTTTCAGGTGCTGCCATGTTCGTAATATTCGTTTTAGCTCCTTCAAAAGCCCTTGTCAGAGCCCACAACGTCTTCTCTGGGGAGATTTCTTCAAATATATCGAAGAAGGAGTTTGTCCCATGACCTACCACACCGATAGCGGCTGATAGGAAGGGGAAGCAGACACAAAAATTGACCACCGCTGCCCTAGTTTCGTGATTTCTCCAATAGGACACCCAAAGATCTTTGGTCAAGAAAAAATGGGGAGTTAAGCTTGTCACTTTGTGGCAATACTGGAACAGCCGCAAAACATCTGAGAGGCTCTTCCGTTGGTTGTCTCGAAGATACGCATGTCGAAGCACGTGACTCATTCGAACCGCTCCCGAGGTCTGTTGGGCCAATAGGTCAAGCTTCACTTTTTGATCCGCCATAGTTTGCCGGAAGTGCTGGATGAAAGGCCCGGCGGGTGCTAACTTACATCCATACTCTTCATGCATTGGAACAAGACCACGTTTACCGATCCATTTGCATCCGTAGGCTGCGTATCGACATTTCACGAGGGCATGTTCGCATTCTTGTTCGTGCTTAGCGATTTCTGACAGAGGGAGATTTCGTTCCCGACAGCCGACAGAGACATAACGGCATGGCAGCCGAGGGACGTTATCCTCACTCATTTTCCCATAAAGATCATAGTCGGGTACTGCCGCATCGCATTCACATCGGCAAACGGGACATTTTGTGACTTGTTGATTCTCTCGATCGGAATCAATGACCCGCTGGAGACAAGCTCGACAAAATCTGGAGGAACATTTGCCACATCCTACAGGGTCGTCCATGTATTCGTAGCATATTCCACATTTAAATCGTTCGTACTGAGGTGGGTCTTGTACTCTTGTGCCTGATCCTGAAGGGTTTGCAGTCTCGGTAGCATTCGTTGCTACGGAGGCAGCAACAGGTTGAGGAGTCAAAGGTTCGAGTTGAACTCTCACCATTCCAAGGTGGACGGGAACGGAAGTGGTTGATCCTGCTTGATTCTCACCATTTGGTGGCATTGATCCCGGTTGAAGATTTTGCCGTCGTTGACGTTGTAATTGCTGTAGCTGCAGTTGTCTCGCCATTTGCCCTCTTCCTCCCCATCGGAGTCGCTGGAAACTCAAATTTCCGTTCATATCTCGATCTGCAACATGATTGCCGTTGCCATTGTTCCCATTCAAGGCGGCATTTTGTAATGGATTACCATGAATGTCTCTGTCCAGATTCATAGGCAATCCACTTGTCTGGATCCGAGCTACATTGTTTGGATTCATATGGCGACGAGCAAATTGAAAGCCCTGAGCGGGTAGCCCGCCGAAAATCTGTCGTGCTTGCGGCTGCTCTTGCCGCCTTCGATTCCGATCGGTGTCATTATTGGTTTGATTATTGGCTCTATGATCAGACATTGCAGGGTTGCTTTGATTTGTTTCATCTGACATGGTCAACTGCTACAGAGTTTCAGTTGTATTTTCTCACCATGTAGATGTTGTGTATTTTACAGTCATAATTCTAATTCGAAAATGTGACTGCTTACAATCTTTTCTTGAGTTTTTGAGAGTTTGATGGGCAGTTTTCGGCTCATTTTTTGTTTTTTTCCTGTGTCAGTCATCAGTCATGGTTCGATAATTTTCGTTGACTACTAGTAGTAGTGATACTGTACGTACGTAGGTAGCTGTTCGAAAAACATCCACTGAGTTGATTACGTACGGTACGTATGAATATTCACATCGACTGTACGAGTACTCGTACTTACGTATGAGTTCGTAATACGAGAATTGGCTGGCCAACGCAAAATACTACGGTGCAAAAATTAAGTTATTGCTACTAGTGAGGTTGAAGTTATGCGCTGAAAAGAATGTAGTACCGGTAGAAGGTTTTCAACGAAAGCACTGTGGCTGTTTACTGTTTCTGAAATAGGAATGGAAATCACTGATTTGTTGTGTATGCTGGGTATTGTTTTTGTTGTTGTTGTTTTTTGTAAGTACTAGAAGAGGTGTTCTTCTTCTTACAACAACAAACAGACCATTGCTGCTGGAAGTTCTTCTAAATCCGCCCATTTCTTCTTGCTTGTGTAAGACCAAGTTGAAACCAACACATTTTCCAAAGATCTCCCCTGTAATTTGTGAACAGTTCTTGCATTAGCAATATTGATTAGAAATTGAGTTAATCAAATTCCTTTGTGATTTGTTTGAGTTTGATGGGTAGTAATTTTTTCTTGATTTTTCAGGTGCAACAACCTGGCTAAATGCATTTTCTTGGTCTTTGTCATTTTTAAAATTCAACTTTGCATACTGTCTGCTGATATTTTCCAAGCTTCCAGTAAATATAAAATTTTTCATAGCTTCTGCATGATCAGTCTCATGGTTGACAACATCAAAAGTTTTATGTAAAATCTGATACAAAACTCTTCTTGGAAGCTCAATAGGTTTTATATTTTGGTCAACATTCTGTGTGTCATCTGTTGACAAAACCAAGTCACCTGAACCTGAGTTTTGAAGTGCAATTGTATTTCAATATGGTTGGACTTTTGGTATTTTCAGCAGCGTTCTTCCACATTAGTGACAACTGAAGTGTCAACTTGTAGCTTATTGAATCTGTCTGTGAACTGAATCTGACCTGGATCATATATGATATCCATGTTGTCAACAAAATTTGCCTGAAGTTCATCTAGTAACAAACAAAGATTGCCACTTCCTTCATTAGTTTGACAACAGTTCCCTCCATTTAAAGGTTTTTGTGTAACTTGTTCTAGAGCATCTTTTGGTCTTCATGAATGATTAAAACTGCTGTAGCAATCTTGGGCATTTTTCAGCAGTTTTTGATGATTCAGTTTCAGTTTTTTACTTTTCGGAATTTCCCTGAATTTTGGTAAATATTTTGAATCTGTCTGGAGTTTTTTTTTGCATTTCCAAATGGAAAAAATAGAATCATTGCTGTTTTAGCATATTTTTCCATTGCCAACAAGCGGTGATCAGTATCATTTAGATGATTGATGTTAGCATCAATGAGGATGCCTCCAAAGCTTTTGCTGTTAGCTAGGAAAGTCTAAAAAACTAACAAATGGAATTGTTGGTTTCTCACGTTTGAAAATTTTCAAGTGATTTTTTGCAGGGTGTGGAGTTTACCAATCAATTGTTTTTCTTCTTCTTTGATTTGCTGATTCCTTTTGTTATGGTGAAGCCAGATTTAAAAATCATAAACAGAAACAACTTCATGTTTTCCTGGCATGCACAAATAATTTGCAACATGACAAGATTTAAGAAATAGAATGTGTTTGTTTTGAATTGTATTGGAATCCAAAACAAAGTCCTCAATTGTCTCTCTCTCAAAACAATCAAGACCAAGAAATTCAAATTCATGAGAAAAATGGAAACAAGACCCATAATTTTGAAGGGGATAGCTTGTCATGGGACCAGAAAACAATGTGTGACTTTGTGCTTAAAATGACAGCTCCAATCAAAGCATGAACTTCTTGTTCACAAATTGCAACATTGCACTCATTGTCTTCCTCACTGTTGTAAACTTCTTGTTGAAGTTTGTTTAACATATGTTTTCCTGCACTAGTATACACTTCAGTGTCTTCTTTGTTGGTGGTTGCTTTTGAAATTTAACAGGTCATAATTTATCATGTTTTAAGAATGGGACTCTCTTTCACCATGCAAAAATAACCAGTTTGATTTTAGAATTACCAATCATGACAATGACTCCTCATTGGTGAAGTAGTTGGCCCATTTGCTGGTGGCTAAATGTTGTTGCAGAGGCTGTCAATGTTGGTGTTGGTGTTGGTGTTGGTGTTGGCGTTGGCGTTGGCGTTGG